GTCTCTTCCAGCTGCTCTAGCCTCTTACAGCAAGTCCTGCCGGATCCTCCACCTCTTCCCCCCCTCATGCACCAAGAGGCACAGAAGCCTTGTGGTCACTCTCCTCCAGTCATGACACTGCTGCGGCCATCTCCCTGCATGCAGCACCTCTGGGCTCCTTCCCAATTCGTCTCCCTGGTCAGCCTCAGATACTGAAGTGCTCTGTATTCTCCCCATAGGGGGACACTGGTCTAGTTGGAAGTGAAGGCCAAAGGACTTCCCCAAAGGCTGGGACCTTTCTTCCACAAATCCCAGCAGCTGGAAACCTTCCCTTCCTGCCTGCCTATGTAGCAACCCTACTGGCTTTCTAGTGCCCAGGTAACATCACAGGTGGGAATTAACTATTGGACACCAGGCACTTTCGGAACCCCCAGAGACTGTTGGCATTTGTCCTCATGGGTAAATTGTTCTTCGTTTTTCTTCAAGATCATTCAGAGGAAGAGGCGGGGCCTCTGTTTACAGATAATCCAGAGATGCACTGACTTGGGCAGTCCCGTGCGTCAGTCTTACGGTCAGTATTTCAGTTATACTGTGAATTCTGAGTCCTGGACACCAGTAGCCCATAGCCAGACTCCAATAGCTCAGGAGTCTTTCTTCCCTGCACAGGGAACACACAATGCAACCTCACCTTAAGGAATTCTGTTGCTGGCTGGGAACATTTCCTTTGTAGCTCACTGATCAGTTCACCGAGTAGTAACGTTTTCTCGCCAACTTTAGTGACATATTCATTCCGCCGCTTTAAAATCGCCTCATCTAGCACTTCCAGCTGTGCCAGAAGGAGGCACTGGTGTTCACTCAGAAACTCATGCAACTGCTCAAATTCAAACAAAATCTTCTGTCTCTCCAATTCAGTCTGTCTCTAGAGGGAACAGATATAAAGCCACGAAGGACAGGTCAGTATTACAGGCAGCGTCCTTGCACTCCCCGCACATCCTTGTGTATGTCAACTAGGGATGTGAATGTTTAACCGTAGGGAGGCTTATGGGTTACAGTTAACCCAGGGGTGGGCAATAATTTTTTACTGGAAGCCACTTCAGAAATTTTTGAAGGGCCCCCGGGCACTCTGGAAGGGGTGGGGCCTCAGGCGGAAGGGGCGGGGCCAGGAAATTTCCCTGATTCCCCACCCACAGACCATGATTGGTCTGGTGGTGGGGGAGCAAGTGAAGTCTTTGCCCCCCCCAGAGGTTTCCCGTAGGCGCCCGTGCCCCAGGCAGTGGGAGGAGACTTCACTCACTCCCCCTTCTGCCCCAGACCAATCAGGGCTTGGGGGCGGGGAAAGCGTGCGAAGTCTCCTCCCACCCTGGCAGGAGCATGTGGTGCTTCTAAGCACCACGTGCTCCTGGCAGGGTGGGGGCAGGGCAGAGGAAACTTCATGCGCTTCCCCCTGCCCCCAGATCCTGACTGCCCTGGGGGCAAGGGAGTGGCAGGGCCTCCGCGGGCCGGATCAATCCGCTTGGCGGGCCGAATTCAGCTCACGGAGGCCCTTTTGCCCATTCCTGATTTAAGCAATGGGGGCTGGAGCAGCACCAGCCCCACGGGGCCTGCTGTGGGTGAGCTGCACTCCAGTCTGGATGGAGTAGCCCCTGTCCACAGCAGGCCCAGCCTGGGAAGGCAGGGTCACTCCAGCCTGGCCACAGCTGCCCCACCCATGGCAGGTGGGGGGTCACTCTGGCTGGGCTAGAGCAGACCCCTTCTCCCCCCATATAACCGATTAACTGGTTAAACCCAAGATTTACCGGATTAACTAATGAAAGGGGATTTTACATCCCTGGTGTGAATATGGCACGTGAGACGGAGCTGGGGCTAGGAGAGACCTTACAGTGGGAAAGAAGGACAAAGGAGTCTAGGGGGCAGGAGATGAAGAAGTGGAGTAAATCGTAAATGAGCCGATGGAGAAGACAACAGGAAGGATGGTTCAAAAGCCCTGGGCACTGAGGGAGGAGGGTTGATGACGAGAGGACTTGGTGAGTGTTGCTGAAGGAGATGATGCGGTAGCTGGACAGACGAAACAGGGGAGCAGAGACATTAAGGAAGAGGGAGGGATAGCTCAGTGGTTTGAGCATTGGCCTGCTAAACCCAGGGTTGTGAGTTCAATCCTTGCAGAGGCCATTTGGGGCAAAAATTCATCAGGGATGGTACTTGGTCCTGCTGAGAAGGCAGGGGACTGGACTCAATGACCTTTCAAGGTCCCTTCCAGCTCTAGGAGATAGGCATCTCCATTATTAAAGTAAGGTCAAGTGAGTGGCCAATTTGTCATGAGGGAGCCTCAAAACAGGGATGAAGGTCAAATGAGGAGGGGGAAGCTGAGACGTTGGGCTGCACATCAGTGTGGAAGCTGAAGTCCCCAAGAAGGAGGGTGGGTATTGTGAAGAGAGGACGAGCCAGCACTCAGAGTCAAAGAAGACAGACAGGGAGGCATTGGGGGCAGGGGCTAAGAGTAGAAGAGGCCACCATGCGGAGAGGGGGGATGTTTATCAAAGCGGATGTTTATCAAAGCGGTGTCAAAGGGGCAACGTGATTTTATGTGGGTGCCAGGAGATGAAGAAGTCATGGGAAACTGACCTGGAGAAGAGTGAACTTTCCAGGGGGAGCAAGAGAAGGAGAAGAGGGAGGCTGAGAATGGGGGCTGGGACTTGAAAGAGGATCCAGAGGGGCAGACGTGGTGACAGGTGTAGCTGTGGGAGGAGGGGTGCACGGAGATTGAAAGACGACCAAGGTAATGGCAGATGTCACCAGAGGTGAGGAAGAAGCAGTGGAGAGGGCAAGGGGGTTATGAGAGGGGAGTGTGGTAGGAAGGAAGTGGGGGTAAAAGAGAACTAGCAGCAGAAAGTGGAAGTTAAAAGGGATATAGAGAGAGTGGAGGAAAGAGCAGAGGAGGGAAAGAACAACAGATACATCAGTAGAAGATCAAGATCAGCTGGGAACTGATCTGCTAACCAGAACAAGAATACGGCTGTAACAAATTCTATTCTCAATGAATAGTTCCCCAGCTCCCTGTGCCGGCAGAGTGGCATGTTACAATGGGGTGTAGTCTGCATTGTCTGCTCTTGAAAACAGCCAAGTGCACAAGGTGCCCATATTACAGCAATGTGACTAAGGCCTTGTCTCTAAGAAGAGTAAGTACACTCTTCTTAGCTCGGCTGTAAATCTGCCAACCTGTTGCACATTAATTGGCCATGTGGAGCCTGCTACCCTGCCCTAGAGTTCTCTAGCATACTCTTTGAAATGGCAGGGCACTGGTAGTGTTGTCATGTCATGGTGTAAACCCACTTGTTCGGCAAACAGCTTGTAAGCTGCGGCGGATACAGGGCAGGGCGAGCGGGGTGGCTGCTCCGGGCCCCGCGCTCAGGGGTGGACTGGCTGGCGGGATACCACACTTTAAATTCCCCGGTGCTGCGCGCTGCACGGTGGAGGAGCGCATGTGCAGCGTGCTGAAACACCATGCCACACAGGTGAGAGAGGAGATGCCTGGTGAGAGGGGCCCCGCGAAATTGTGCTACCCTGGGCCCTGCAAAAATCTCATCCACCCCTGTCTGTAAGGGGTCTAGTACTGCATTGATGAGGCACATATACCCCAGTAAATAGACAGGTAGGTAGATACCAGCAGTGCGTCGCTTTGCTCTTCTCCGCGTGGTTTAAATTTTCCTCTCTCTGTTTGTAAGAAACACAAACTGCTCTGAAGCTTTTCCTGGAAAGCAAGAGGGATTTGGTAATCTCGGTGTTTTAGTTCAGACAATACACAGCAGTACTATGTTTTTCACTATGTCAGACGTGGACATTTTCAAAGCTCTCGTAGGAAGTGACAGCAGCAGCTCTACAGTTAAGGATAGCTCCCCGTTATAAATCCAGTTTTCAAGCCCACCTTTAACTTCCCCCCAAAGAAGCCAATTTTGCATGCTGCTGTTCATTCTTAGCAACACTTTTTCTGTTAAATCTAGTAGAACTCAGGCAAAGAGTTTTAGTTTTAGAAGCCAAGGTGTTAGTTAATTTGTTGAAAAAAATCCTTTTTAAAATGGTTTGACGTGGGAATCCCACAGATGTTTTGTTGATCTTACTGAGACGTACCTTCTGGTATTTGGGGGCTGAGTTAGTGGGAAGGGGTTTAAAAGATAGAAATGCTAGGGGTGTTAGATATCGTGAAATGGAATAGTTGTGTCACTGCATGAATTCTTAGCGGTGACACAACTATTCGATAGTCCCCGGGGGAAAGGATGGCAGCCAGTGTGCTCCCAGCCCCACTCCTGGGGAGCCCTCATCTGCGAGGGAAACCAATTATTAAAAATCAGCTTCCTGTGCAAACAGTCTGCCTGCCACCCTGCACGGCTGCCTCTGATTCAGAGGCAGCAGCGTGGGGAGGCGGCAGCCACTGTCTGCAGGGGGGTCTAAGCTCCCACGGACAGGGACTGCTGCTGCAGACCAGCCTCTGTCTGCAGTGAGCCTGGACCGCCACGGATAGAGGCTGTTTCGCAGCAGCCTCCCCCGCACTCTCCCCCCATGCCGCTGCTTCTATCAGCCATAGGGGGACAGCACTGGCTCCTGCATGCTCCCCATCAGTGCCTCTGTAGGAGGCAGCAGGGGAGGAGCAGGCAGGTCTGTGGGAGCTGATATGCACGCATGTGCAGGGAGGGGGGCAGGCGGAACCAGTGCTCATGGGGAACCTGTTTAAAGCCAGCTCCTCATGGGCACTGGCTCCTGTTCCCCCACCCTTCTGCCTCTGATACAGAGGCAGCGGAGAGGGGAGTGAATGTAGTTGACAAGATTAACCGATAAGCCCGGGTTTATCGGTTATTCGCCGAGTTGACTACACGTTGACATCCCTAATAAATGCTTGTTTTTACATTAATACAATGAAGCGATACATTTATTGGCAAGTAAAAATTCATCATACTCTGGTGAGCCATATAGTCTGGCAGAAGTTTGCAAGAGAGTTAGTAGAAGATGTTTTTAAAAAATTGCAATGAGTTGTTACTAAAGTTTGAATTTCAGATAATTAACCCAGTGTTATCTACTGTTATTCCCTTTGTCGGGAATGTTTGTAGACCAGCTACAGTTTTAACTTGCATGGTATGACAGAAAGGCTGTGTCTACACTGGCCCCTTCTTCGGAAGAGGCATGCTAATTTCTAACTTTGGAATAGGGAAATCCGCGGGGGATTTAAATATCCCCCGCGGGATTTAAATAAACATGGCCACCGCTTTTTTTCCAGCTTGGGGAAAAGAGCGTCCAGACTTTCAAGTAGGAATAAGAGATCCTCCGGAATAGGGCTTTATTCCGGAGGATCGCGCCAGTCTGGATGCTCTTTTCCGGCTTTTCCCCAAGCCGGAAAAAAAGCGGCGGCCATGTTTATTTAAATCCCGCGGGGGATATTTAAATCCCCCGCGCATTTCTCTATTCCAAAGTTAGAAATTAGCATGCCTCTTCCGAAGAAGGGGCCAGTCTAGACGTAGCCCAAGTGAAGGAGGAATGTGGCATTACTGAAGCATCTTCATGGCTTAACAACCAGTTATTTTGAGGTAGAAGAGCCTGAGAGTATAATACATAAAATCACAATAAATAAGAATACTTAGCTCTTATGTGCATGTCCTGCTTGGTAGGTAAATTCCATTGAAATATACTTTCATCCTTCTAAGTCCTAACAAAGGGTTTTTTGCGAATTTCCCTAAGTTATACTACAGTATATGGATAGCACATTTCACCTAAAGGACTCCACCCGCCCAACAGCACTTACAGTTTACAAACCAGCCCAAGAGCCACAATGAGTCAGACTTAAGCCAGACCTTCAGTGAGCTAGACCCCGACTGGTTTGCTCATACCTGGCTCATTTCTGTTCTGATCTCTCCCCTGGCTTCTTAGAATCTGACCTTCCCCGGCCTGGCTTGCTTACTAGAATCCCATTCTGCTCCCATACAATTCAATGGCAAAACTTCCATTGACGGGGACTGAGTCCCTAGCTAGACAGCTTCTCCATACAGACACTACATAGCGATTTCCTACCTTGTAGGCCTGGGCAGCTTCCTCTATTGGAGCCACAGTGTGATCCCTGTGAGTCTGGGACTCCCGGCACACCAGACAGATCGGCCTCTGGTCTTGTTCACAGAAGAGTTTCAAAGATTCTTTGTGCTCCTCACACACAATTTCTTCTGCTTTCTTTGCCGCTTCCAAACCAAGCTGCACCGCTATTTCTACCATGTTTGCCAGCTGCCTGTTGGGCCTGAAATTTCTTGGCTGGATAGTCTTTCTGCACTGAGGACACGAGAGCTTCCCCGCTGATTCCTTGCAGTATTCTCTGATACATGCCCCACAGAAATTGTGGCTGCACTCTGTGATCACGGGATCTTTAAAAGAGTCCAGGCAAATGGGACAAGTGGCTTCATTTTGGAGATCTTCCGTCAGATTCACAGCAGCCTGAGCCATGAGCCTTTCAAGAAACAGAAGCAAACTTAAGTTTCACTTTCGTTTGCTTAGCCATGGGCGTGGCCTCCCTCTTCCCCTGGCTTTATGCCCAGAAACTCCTTGGTCCGCAAAGCTGCTGAATCAGTGACTCACTCCCTGTAGCAGGGATACTAACAAATCCAAGCAGTGCAGGACCCAAACTAGCAATCAGCATGATGCAAAAGAGTCCCACAGTCAGACAAGGGAAATGTTCTTGTACTGCTTAGCTATTGTTTTTATACAATGCCCAGGACACCTTACAAAGCCATCCGTTTATCTAGCAGGGAACTACTGGCATGTTTAGGATCGCAACCCATCTCACAAAATCAAGAATGTCATCATGTTGGAAACGTTTGTAACCCCCTTTTTCCTCCCTGGGTTACTGGGGAGCAGGTCACACTCACAGGTGTGCCGGGGCGCCTGGTGTTTTAACCCAAAAGGAGATCCTGAGCACCCCAGGTGATGGTGTTTAGTTGGGGAAAGCCTTAACCACCCCCTTGCTGCAGTCCCTTGCTCATAATGAATGTACAATGGCAGTGCCTCCACCTGGCTGGCCTTGTACACACACTGGTGCCTTGAGAGCCTCCAGGAACATACTCATTCCAGCTATCATCTGGATCTAATTCTAGAACAACTACTACAAATCATAGCCATCTAATAGATTACATTAAAATAAACAATCTTTACTTAACTTAAATAAACAGGGTCTAACAGATTAACAATGAGCAGCATTAACAAACACATGCACCTGACGAAGTGGGTCTTTGCCCACGAAAGCTTATGCTCCTACACTTCAGTTAGTCTATAAGGTGCCACAGGACTCCTTGCATTAACAAAGTGCACAACAATAATTGGAACTTACATATCTAGCAGTGACCCTGCCCATACTGATCCCACCCCGGAGCGTGCACACCCCTGCACTCAGAGTCCAGACTCTGGCTTGCGTGGGTGTGCTTGAAGAACTGCAGCTGTAGTGGAAGTTCTCTGCAGGCAGTGTGGACGAGGCTCCAAGCTAGGCAGCAGCTCTGTCCCAGGCAGCACTCTTCCCAAAAAGGCCCAGTCACTTACAGCCTCGTGCTGTGCCTATCAGAAGCAGCCTGCTAGATCCCAGCTCCAAAGGCCTCCAGTCCCAGTCTGCAGCTGCATCCAACAGCCCCTGGACTGGATCAAACTCCTCCACAGCAGCCTGGCTCCCCTTCTCTTCCACAATCCAGTCCCAGACTGCTAGGCCTCTCTTCTCAGGCACATGGAGAGCCTCTGATCTCCCACACAAGAGTCCTTCCTTCCTGTTTTTCCCAAGGGCTCATGGGAATTGTAGTCTGGACTGCAGCACACAGGGTCTTTCCAGAAAAAAACAGAGGCCCCTTTAGTAAGGGGACTACACGTTCATGAAAAAGCCCAGTTAGAAGGACTGAGTCATGTTTCAATATCAGTGTATCTACATCCTGTTCTGTATCAAATACAGTAATTCCTCATTTAACACGATAGATCTGTTTCAGAAAACGATCGTGTTAAGTGAAAACGTGTTATGCGGGGTCAATTTTCCCATTGAAAATAATGGAAAAGGTGGGGGTTGCGTTTCAAGCGGTGTGTCTGTTGGGACCGGGACATGAGGTTGGGGGAAAAAGGCGACTGGGTTACAGCAGGGATGGGAGGGGTTTGGCTCTGGGGAAGGGAAGGGAAGGAGAGGGGAGGGGGATTGGGTTGGGACCCGCACTGCGTCCGGCAAGGGGGGGGGGTCACCGGGGAACGGCGTGGCGAGTGGCGAACCCTCCCCCGCTTTGCAGGGAGGCAAGGGAAGCCCCGCGCAGCCACCGTCAACGGGCCGGCTGGGGAAATCGTGTTATTCTGAGGACGGTTGTGTAATTCAAAAAACGTTCCCTAAAAAAAACCCGTGCTATGGCGAAAACATGTTAAGCAGGCACGTGTTAAATGAGGGATTACTGTTTACTGAACCAGTTACCGTGGCAGCAGACGTGTGTGGGCAGCGTTTTCATTGAAGTAGCTGCACTTAGGCAAATCATTATTCTGCAAACTAGAAAGGTCAGAAAATGTATTCCCAGAATTCTGCTCGGTTACGTCTTGTCAACCAAGGGGTCTCTGGCCCCGGTGCATGGAGGAGAGACGTCCGCACCATGGACCCTTCCTCAGGAACAGGGGACATGGTCTCGTGCAGGAGACATGAAGATTGCAAGCCTATCAGATTAGATCATGGACCGCAAGCATTTTTATGGGGGGGCCCTCCAAGACTTTGATAAGTGGTCAAGGGCCACTCTTTTCTATGGAGGGGGTGATCGGGCTAGGCCAAGGCGAGGGCAGCGAGTGAAGTGCCCCTCGCTCCAGGGGTGCCCAGCACCTAGAGGGAGCCACCAGCTGTTCTGAGCAGCCTCCGGTGGCAGCAGGCAGGAGCCTGCCTCGGGGTGTCGACAGGCGGGCTGGATCAAAAGGCTTGGCGGGCCGCATGCGGCCTGGGGGCCATGTCGTGCCCACCCCTGGTTTAGAGGAAGGATTCTCAGCAGACCTATGGTAACATTTTCCAAAGTGCCCAAGTGACCTAGGTGTCGAAGGGCGCGTCTCCGCCGCAAAACCCCCTCCCCCGGCAGCAAGTCCTAGAGCAGGGGCGAGCCGCATGCCCCTGGCAGGTCGGAGGCAGGGCTTCCCGCACTCTCCCCGTCCCCGGGCCCTGATTGCCCTGAGGACGGGGGAGCACGCAAAGTCTCCTCCTGCCGCCAGGGGCATGGGCCCATAGAGGGAATCTCCAGCTGTTCAGAACTGGGGGTTCTCTCTGGGAGGGGGGCAAAGACTTCACACGCTCCCTCCACCCCCAGGCCTGTCAGGGTCCGTGGGTGGGGAAGCACAGAAGTGTCCTGGCCCCGCCCCTTCACCTGAGGCCCCACCTCTTCCAGGGCTACAACAAAAATGTCTGAAGTCGCCCCGCATCTAAAATTATTGCCCACCCCGTCTTAGAGTCTGGGTCAACTGCCTCAGGCTTCTGCGAGGAGGCTAAAAATAACAGTGTAGACGTTCCTGAGACTGTCCCCCCTGCTGGGTTCCAAAGCCCGGGGTTCAGGCTAAACGGGAATATCCACACACTTATTCTGAGTCCCACAGCCTGAGCCAGCTGAAAGGGTCTCTAAGGCTTGCTGCCATGGATTTTTTAAGATAAACTCTGGGTCACATTTTCTGAAATATAAGGGGATTTATACATTTAAGTCACAGAGGAGTTTTGGAAAACACCAGCCTCTGACCTCACTCCGTGTCTTGGGAAAGCCACCTTGCTACTTGTGCCTCAGTTTCCCCTTTTTTTGTAAAAATACGGCAGGGAAAATACCGACTAGCCTCACAGAGGTTAGAGAGGTTTGACACATTCAGGTTTAAAAAGATCGCTGCTCCTTGCTCTTTGCAGAGGCAGCACACTGCGTCCTGGCTCAATGATGAAGGGAAGGCCGCAATTAGAAGTGAAAACCAATGCATTGAGCTGTTCTGACCACAGGGCAGTTTGCGGGAGTGGAGTGGGGAGGCGGGGTCTGGGCGGGAAGGTGGATGTGGGAATAGAGTGCGGGTGCGGGCTCTGGGTGGGAAGGTGGGTGCGGGAACGGAGTAGGGGTGCGAGCTCTGGGTGGGAAGGTGGGTGTGGGAACAGAGTGGAGAGGCGGGGTCTGGGCGGGAAGGTGGGTGTGGGAACAGAGTGGGGGTGTGGGCTCTGGGTGGGAAGGTGGGTGCGGGAACGGAGTAGGGGTGCGAGCTCTGGGTGGGAAGGTGGGCGTGGGAACAGAGTGGGGAGGCGGGGTCTGGGCGGGAAAGTGGGTGTGGGAACAGAGTGGGGGTGCGGGCTCTGGGTGGCAAGGTGGGTGTGGGAACAGAGTGGGGTGGCGGGGTCTGGGCGGGAAGGTGGGTGCAGGAGCAAAGTGGGGATGTGGGCTTTAGGCAGGAAGGTGGGCGTGCGAGTGGGGTCTGGGCAAGAAAGGGGGTCACAGACTAACATGTCTGCCCCTCTGAGATTCGTCTACCCAGACAGGTAGAAAAACCACACCCGCTACAGTGGTTACAGCTCACCAAGGAGTCAGCATCACCCAGGTCTCCCAACACAGCTGATCAGAGACTTACAGATCAACAGCCAGGTGTAGGGTGAAGGAGGAAAACGGGAATCAGCGGAGTTGGGGGCTGGCAAGAGGAGATTACAGCTCATCAGATCTACAGTGGGTGGAAACGTTTCCAAGGGAACAGATTCTTGCCACGAAATGCTGCTTTGACAACAGTCAGAGTGTATCATGGGAGTGTATCGGTATGATGGCGAAATGATCAGGGGCGTTCTAGCCATTCCCAGAAGGACCGACTCCTTGGTGTTGACTTTACTCACACGGTCATTTGTAATATCAAAGGGTATGTCTACACTACCCTCCTAGTTCGAACTAGCGGGGTAATGTAGGCATACCGCAATTGCAAATGAAGCCCGGGATTTGAATTTCCCGGGCTTCATTTGCATAAG